TGTGTGTGTGTGTGTGTGTGTGTGTGTGTGTGTGTGTGTGTGTGTGTTTATGTGTAACTGTGCCGGTGAAGCTGAGACCAGAGGATGTCAGATCTCTTGAACATGGAGTTACAGATGGTTGTGAGCTGCCTGCTGTAGGTTCTGGGAATCAAATCCAGGTCCTCTGCCAGAGCAGTAAGTGCTCTTGACTATTCAGCTATCTCACCATCTTCCTCTATTTTTTTAAAGACAAGATCTTGTGATTTCAAAGCTGACCTTTCACCTAACTATGTCATGGAGTTAGGTGAACTTGAACACTGGGTCCTTCTGCCTTCACCACTCAAGTACCAGAACTCCAGGCATGTCCCACCATGCTAGGTATCACCCAGCTAAGACTCCTAGCCCCATGCACGGCTTTATTCCTCTAAAACCCTTAGCACTAAAAGTAACAGTATACTTTTTCTTGTTCGCAGTGTCCCTTCAGTCACTAGAATGTAAGCTGCTGAGATAAGAGACCTTAACTCTTCTGCTCAATGCTGTACCCTAAACTGACACTATGGTTAGATAGAGGGCTGGGATGAGCCTGTGTTATTTACAGTGTCTCCAAGGGCAGGGTCAACTCTTCTAGGTTCTCCGCTGAAACTCTTCATTCATACATGCGTCTGTCCATTCATTCAGTAGTTTCCCCGAGCCCCTAAGTGTCCAGCTTTGAACGTGTGGTCCCAGCCACTACCCCGGGTCTTACAGGTAGGTAGGTTGCCCTCTAGCCAATGGAGGGGTTAGCACACTGTATTAGAGCTTCCTGGTGTAGAGTACGACGTTATGTGCGAGCAATTTAGTGAATTATTTCTTTATTTATCTACTGATGGTACATTCTCCTCATGTAGTCTAGAACTCCCCATGTAGCCCAGAATACACAGAGATCTTGCCTCCTGAGTGCCAGGATCAAAGGCATGCCCCATCCCACCCGTCGTCATTACTGATAATGACAAATATCTGGAGTGTTCTTGATAAGGTATGCATTCTCTTATTAGAAAGAAAAGCCATTACTTCAACATATGCGTCGGACATATTCTGTATGCTGGGCTGGCTGCTATGAATTGAGGACTCCAGATACAAGCAGGCAGCCAACAGCAGTTCCTTCTGGCCATAATGAACTTCCAAACTCTGTCTAATATACTTTCTCTAGGCAACTGCCTAGGTAAACTTCCTTACAAGAACTGTTCCCTTAATTCTCCCAAGGTGAAGTTCAGTTTCCTCTCTAAGGGCTCTGCTGCAAACAGTATTCCTGAATTGAGTATTAGGTTACATTCTTTAAAGTCAGACTGTCCCGTATGCACTGTTATCTCCCTGATGCCCAGCAAAGGGTCTTCCCTATAGTAAATACTTGTGGAATCCAGGCATGGTGGTGCACACTTCCACTCCCAACACCTGGGAGGTGGAGATAGTAAGATCCAGGTCATCCCTGGCTACCTAGTTCAAGGCCAACCTAGGCTACTTGAGACCCTGTCTCAGTAAACAAACAAATGGATGAGTGAATTCTCATAGAATGGAGTATGAGAAGAGCCTGCAGAGAGATCTCTGGCTCAGTGGGAGACCCGGCTCTTTTAAGACCATGCCCATCGGGTATGTGGAAAGCAGAGGAAGACTTCCTGCAGGCTGTGAGGGGTCGATTCTGCTGAAAGTAGCTGGACCGCATGCATCTCCAGGCACAGGGTCCCTTCCCATTTGATGTATTTCAGAGCTGTTTCCCAAGCCGAAGCTGGAATTCTCCTCCAGTCGTCTGGACCAAGGGGAAATGTTGGACCTGTCCTGCTCTGTCCCTGGCACGCCCTCAGCCAACTTCACCATCCAGAAGGAAGACAGGGTCTTGACGCGGCATCAGAATTTCAGCAAGTTTGCCGAGGAGAGGGACAGCGGGAGGTATGTCTGCACCGCGGCCATCGGCAAAGTGCTCAAGAGGAGCAACTCGGTGCAGATGAAGGTCTGTGGTGAGTATGCCCCCAGGTGCTCGGCCCCGCAATGGTGGAGTAGGGGTAGGAGCAAGGAGCGGATGGCCGGCCGGCCCTTGGAGGACGGAGGAGGAGTAGCACGGCCAAGTTAAGGGCTTTCGTGATGGCTGCTGCTGTGGTCTTGGGGCTGGGAGGATGCTGGCTTTGGGGGTGGGAGCCCACTCAGGTTAGGGAGGAAACACACCCACATCCTGGCTCTCCACGGAGTACAGTGTAGCGTTAGGCTGCTCGGACTTCTTTGTACACCTACGAGCCATTTAGGAGGTATAGTGGAGCGTACACACCTATAGTCCTGACACCCAGGAAGTTGAAACAGGGATTGCTGTGGGTTCAAGACCAGCCGGGCCTACATAGCAAGGCCCTGTCTCAATCCTCCCTGAATCCCAACATAAAAGACCTTGTCTTAGAAAGAGAAGGAGAAGAGGAAGAAGATGACTATTCTCGTGGGATATTGATGGTGCATGCCATTAATCCCTCCAGTGAGGCAGGAGGATTGCTGCAAGCTCAAGGCTAACCTGTGTTACAGGGCAGGACCCTGGCTCACAAAACAAACACACAAGGGGTGTAAAAAGGTTGCTCAGTGTTTTCGGGGACTTGCCGCCCTTGTAGAGGACCTGGGTTCACGCACAGACCACCACACCGGGATGGCGCCTACCCCCTCTCTCCTTCCCTTACCTTCCTCTTCCTCCACACACACACTCTCTCTCTCTCTCTCTCACTTCTTCTTTCCTTTATCCTTTTGAGACAGGAAAGGGTAACTATGTAGCTTAAGCTAGCCTCAAACTCGAGACTGCCCTCCCAGAATTACAGGCGTGCTCTGACATACCCAGATCTTATACCATTATCTTGCTTATGGAGATTAGATTTTTTTTTATTTTTAAAGCTGGGTGATGGTGATGTACACCTTTAATTCCAGTGCTTGGGGAGCAGAGACAGGTGAATCTCTGTGAGTTCGAGGCCAACCCTGGTCTGCAGAGGGAGTTCCAGGACAGCCAGAGCTACAGGGAGAAACCTGTTTTTACTTTTCACTTTTTTTTTTTTTTTTCCTCTTTTGACACAGGATCTCACTGTGAGGCCCTGGCTGGCCTCAAATTCACAAACTTCTTTCTGCGTCCACTTCCTTAGTGCTGGGAATTGAACTCAAGACTTTACATATGCTAGGCTCTACCGCCAGGCTACATCCCCATCTAGCCGAAACTGTTCATTTTCTCCCTTGTTACCAAACGCACACACATATAGACAAGCGTTGCCTGGAAGCCTATGGGAGCCCCTTAAAGGTGGACAAGGCCGGCAGGAAAGCCAGCATTTGAAATCATGATCTCAGGGCCAAGCCCAGAGTTTCCAGAAGGATGGTCCTGGGCTGGGTTACTGTTTCTGTTTCATTTGGATCGTTTTTCTCTGTTGTTCTAGAAATGCTCTCTAAGCCCAGGATTTTTCATGATGCCACGTCTGAGATCATAAAGGGACACGCCGTAGGCATCAGCTGCCACTCGATAAATGGAACCACGCCTATCACCTACCACCTTATAAAAGCAACAAGGATCTTTCGGAGTGTCATGATGAACTCCAATGACCCGGCAACCTTCACAGATAAGCCCACCAAAGACGTGGAATACCAGTGCATCGTGGATAACTGCCATTCCCACCCTGAGCTGCACAGCGAGATCCTGAAGGTCAGGGTGATAGGTAAGCACCTGTGCTTTGAGAAGCAGGACCAGGGCTTTAATGGGCTGGAAGGTTCGGAGTCAATCAGGGATTGCCGGGTTAAGGAACAAGCCCCAGCAAACGGGTCTGGCAAACATCTGGGGGTTCTTGATGTAGCCACTGTGATCCCTGTGACACTTGGCTCCCCTGAAGAGGGAAGGTGTCTGGACCTAAGGAACTACTGGTATTGTGTATTTGGGCTTCTTTGGCTTGGGGGCCTTTTTGGGTGAACAGACAGCCACCCCCAAGAACTGCAGGCCAGAACTCTTTTCTGCCATTGAGCTTGGTAGAACATCTGGGTCACGCATGAAACATACAGCGGGCCGAGCTGCAGGCCCTGGCCTCATGGCGTTAGTTAGCCTGAGAGTCTCACCCTGGTCTTGGGGGTGTGCATGTGCTGGTGTGGGGGAGAGTTGAGCACAGCATAGTGGGATCGGGTGGAGAGGTAGAACAGGCCTGTGATCCCAGCGCTTAGTAGGTGGAGGCAGGCGGATCAGGAATTCAAGGTTATCCTTAGCTACATAGTGAGATCAAGACCAGCGTGGGTCACATAAGACCCAAGTGTCCGTGGACAAGAGAGGGAGCTGGGGCATGACAAGAACAGATTTGGGAAGATAAACCTGGTTGCTGCGGGGGACTCATCCTAGTTCGCCACCGACTTTGCAATGAACTCAGCAAGACTTAGAGCAAATGGTGGGTGGTAGGACTGGGATTTGAGCTAAGGCAGCCTGGCTCCTGAGACCAGTTCACCACTAACCCCTTGAGCCTCCCAGCGAGAGATGCTGTCGCTGTTGGATTGGGCAATGTGCTCAGGCTGTCTGCCCCGGTAGTGGGTCCATGGCCATCCCAGGCCTCATGCTGGGCTTCACCACCCTTTGTGCTCAGAGAGGTGACTCATGTCTGTCTGCTGGGCAGCCTGAGGTTGCTGGTTGTCAGGGTCGCCTGGGCTGATGACACAGGGCCAGAAACTGAGCGGTTAAGAATGTTGCTGAGGAGGCTCAGCCATTTAAGGCCAGGCTCGAAACCAGAAACGTAGGAATGCTGCTGAGAGGGCGCACAGTAGGGGCAGCGAATTCGGCTCTCCAAGCCTCCAGGTGGGAAGGGAGCTGTGTGGTTCCAGGAAGCTGTCTGGACAGGAAACTTCTGCTTATGTTTCAGTGCTCAGAAGTTAAAAACTGAATGTGAAGACAGAGCCCCTAAGCGTGCACACGAAGGGGCTGCAAGTAGAGGTGCCTGTCCAGCCTGATGACCTGAGTTCAATCCCCTGGGCCCCACTTGGTGGAAGGACAGAGTCCCACAAAATGTTCTCTCAATAGTCAGTTCCTCATTGTGGTGTGTATACACCTGTGCACAGAAAAAAAAAATCAAAGTGTTATTTAAAAAAAAAAAAAAAGAGTCAAGTTGGAGGACTGAGGACCGACTTTCCAGAAAGCCCATATTTCACTGTCAAAATAAGTAGTAAAGGAGAAGGCAGCTGGTAAGGGAAGAAAATCAGCTTTGGAGACAGCACAGCTAGTGATGCCATGTCAGCAGGAGGGGCTGGGTGACAGTCTGGCTGCAGGAGGCCAGGAAAACTGGATTAGGAACGAAAGAATGACCTCCTCCATTGAATTTGCTATTCAGGACGATGGCCTGAGGACCAGGGTATTCCCCCCCCCCCCCGCCACCCGTTTCTTTGAGAGATAACAGTAAGCTTTGAACAGCAGATGGGGGTCCAGGGACAGTGGTACATGCCTATAATCCCAGTATTTCAGAGGCCAACAGGACACAGGAAGATCTGGAGTTCAGAGCCAGCTATATAAGACCCTGTCTCAAAACAAAACAAAACAAAACAAGGGCATAGTATGGTGATGCACGCCTTTAATCCCAGCGGATAGAGGCAGGCGGATCTCCGTGAGTTCCAGGCCGGCTGGAGCTACATAGTGAGAGCTTGTCTCAAAATAACATAAACGAACAAAGTAAAACAGAGACAATGACACTAATAGACAACAATAACAAAACCAGATGGGTGGAAGGCAAACTTGAGGGATAGAGCAAGGAAATGTGAAATGAGGCTGTGAGCTCACAGAGGAAAAGGGGAAGAAACCAGGCTAAGCACTGAACATCCTTTTTTAAAAGTTTTACTTATTTTTATGCGCATTGCTCTTTTGCCTGCATGTATATCTCTCTGAAGGTGTCAGGTCCCCTGGAACTGGAGTTATAGACCGTCGTGAGCTGCCATGTGGGTGCTGGGAGTTAAACACGGGTTGGGTTCCCTGAAAGATCAGCCAGTGCTCCTAAGTGCTGAGCCATCTCTCCAACCCTTGTACCACATTTCTTCGTAAGCAGAAAGGCAGAGAGAAATCATTCAAGCACACACACACACACACACACAGAGACACACACACACAGACACACACACACACACACACCTATGCACACACTCTCACAACTCCACACAACTCCAAAGAGTGGCCAGCCATGCTCGTGGTGGGAGGATGGGGCGTGCTCCCAGGGTCTGTGTCTTATCAGTGAATGAGGACAGGATGTGTCTGTTACTGTCCTTCCAGTATAATCAGGGAAGGGACCACGTGGACGTGGGTAGACGAGGATTCAGATTGGAGGCCGGGAGAAAAGCTGACAGGAAGAAGCAGCCATTCTGAGGTCCTTCTCTGTTAACTCCCTCTCCCTCTTGGGTTCTTTGCAACAGGGTCTTTCTGTGTCACTCTGCTGCAAGCTGGTCTGCAGCGTGAGACCCTTCTGCATGCCTCTCCCGAGTGCTGGGGTTACGGGTGTGCGCCCTATCCTTGCCTCTGCCCTTCTCCGGGGCTAATCCTCTGCCTGCCTTCCAGCCCCGGTGGATGAAGTTACGATTTCCATCCTGTCGAGTAACGAGGTGCAGTCCGGGAACGAGATGGTGCTTCGGTGCTCTGTGAAAGAGGGGACCGGCCCGATCACGTTCAGGTTTTACAAAGAAGGGGAGGACAGACACTTCCATGAAGACACCCTGAATGACACGCAAGCGTTTTGGTACAAGAAACTAGCCAGCAAGGAGCAGGAGGGACAGTATTACTGCACCGCCTCCAACAGAGCCAGCATGGTGAAGATGGGTCCCCGAAGCAGCATGCTAACAGTCAGGGGTAAGTCCTCGCCGGCGAGGTGCGCTGTGGAGCGCGCACACACACACACACACACACACACACACACACACACACGCATGTGGAGACCGGCCCGTTTGAATGAGCTAAGGGACCAGTGTCTGATTAGTTACAGTTGGCAGAACTCCACTCACGCTAACTTGAGTAAGAAAGGAGATGAGTTTATATACAAAGAACTGGAAATATTTTATCCGGTCCCAATTCCAACCATCTGACGGAGAGACCACAGTTGACTCATACCGTGGGTTAAATATCCATCCACGACCCACCCCTGTCCAAACACAGCCTAGCTGTGTGCTTGAGTGGGAGAGTTCTGGAGAGATGGAGGAGGATGGACAGGATGCCCCAAATGGAGCAACACCTCAGCAAAACTGGCTGACCTTGACCTCTCTGCCCCCGCCGCCGAGTACGGAAGCTCTCCCAGAGAGATGCCAAGGCTAGACGCCGTTTACAAGGATTGTGAAAATGGGTCTGAGCTGCTGCTCAAACCTCCTGTTATCTCTTGCTGGCAGGAGAAAACCAGTGCTTCCTTTTCTTTCTTTTTTCCCTTCCCTACCCCCAGTCTTTCTCGCTCCGTGGAAGAAAGGGCTCATCGCAGTGACTGTCATTGGAGTGATCATTGCTGCTTTGATAGTCGCAGCCAAATGCTACTTCCTGAGGAAAGCCAAAGGTGAGCACCTAGTCACAGGTTGTCCTTCCCGGAAGCTGGCCGGGACTGTGGAGCATCCCTGAGGAGGCTAAGGGGGAAGGAACTGTGCATTCTCCTTCTTGGGATGTCGCCTTGATAACTCAGGGTTCTGGCTTTGGTGGGTGTGAGGCCTTCACTGCTCATGAACATGGGTACTTGACTAGATGGCTTGCTCTTTCTTGGTGTGTATCATGTTGTGGCGCTCTCTCTCTCTCTCTCTCTCACACACACACACACATGCACACATGCACTCGAATGCTCACACTTCGTGCCTCCCAAATAATCTTCAACTGTGCCACCATCTTGACCGGGTACATTCCAGGAAATAGGGCCTAGCCCAGACTCAATGAAAATGGTGCTGCTGGCTGGCTGGGAGCAGCAGATGGGATGGGGAGGGGCCTTTAATTTTTTTCCGTGCAAGGTAGGAAAATTGCAGCTCCTTGGAAAGAGACAGATTTTGATTTCTGTTCCCAGGACTCACCCTGACCTTGGGTCTCAGGCCAGCTTGGACCTGAAAGCACAGGAATTGGCTTAGGTTTTTGCCTTTTGCAATCATCTTGAATCAAAGAGATAGCCGCCCGCTTCTCCGGGAGTCTGAATCCTTGATCACATGCTGTGAATTAAAATGGCTTCTGGCTAAAAAGTACATGTATATGAGAAAATTACATAAAGTCTCTTGCTGTACTGCCAAGAGAAGGGCAAGGGGAGTAGCCCAGGGATGGTAGCATTTGCTCGGCGTGTTTGAGGGCCTGGCACGGGTCCTTGGCAGCATAAAAACAAGCAAGCAAACCCGTCTACGGGACCTGCTCTCCCTCCTTTCCTCTCACTGGAACATGTATGATTACATCACATCTCTCTTGTTCCTTCCCTTCTCTCTTCATACCCACCCTAGGCTGGCCTCAACTGAGCTGAGGGTGACTTTGAACTTCTGATCCTCTGCCTCCACCTGGGAGTGCTGGGCTCACAGATATGCATGTGGGTTATGTGGTACCGGGCTTTGTGCCTGGTTGGCAAGCACTCTGCCAACTGAGCTGCAGCCCAGTGCGGGCTCCAAGGGAGTCCAGGGAGAGACGGTTACTGTCCCACTTATACTGACCCGGATTTTTCTCTCTTTTTTTAAAAAGCCAAACAGAAACCCGTGGAGATGTCCAGGTCAGTGTCCTTGTAAGAGGGGGCGGTTACTTCATGGGCAGGATGGACTTGTCTGCAAGCCCAGACTGGTCATTAGGAAGTTGTCAGAGGTTCTTGGCAAACTCATAAAGGATAGGAACCCTGGGTATAATGTGTGTGTGTGTGTGTGTGTGTTTGTGTGTGTGTGTCTGTGTGTGTTTCTGTCTTCGTCTGTCTGTCTTGACTACAATGTATATTTAGAATAATAGAGTTGGCCTTTTTAAAAGAAGTGTTTTTATCAGGCTGGAGAGATGGCTCAGCCTTTGCATACACAATACGCATGCACAAATACCATACCCATACACACACACACATTCATACATACACACAACCTCCTGTGTTTGTTTTGGAACAGGATCTCACGTAGCCCAGGCTGGCCTTAAATTCCTGATCTCCTTGCCTCTACCTCTCAAGGGCTAGGATTACAGCTACCATGACCAGCTTCGTGTATCTTGCTCTGTAGCTCTGGCTGGTCTCCAACAAACAGCCATTCCTCCCAGTGCTGGGATTACAGGCGGGTAATGGGCATAGTTTTTGCTTTCTCATGATCTTCCTTTGATGGTTTTGTTGGTTTGGGGTACAGGGGAAAATGTTGTTAATATATATATATATATATATATATATTCTTTCTCATTGACATGTGAAGGCCAGCTGCTCCACTTCTGAACTCCAACAGTGAGAAGGTCTCTGAGTCCAATGTGGAAGCCAACAGCCATTACGGTAAAGCCAAGGCCTCCTTTAATTACCAAGATTTCTGCCAACACAACATAGTTGGGGTTGTGGTAGAAGGGAAATCCTGGATTCAAGCAGTGGTATGTAGCCAGTCAAGATAAGCCAATAAAAAAAGATAAGCCAATAAAAAAAGATAAGCCAATAAAAAAAGATAAGCCAATAAAAAAAGATAAGCCAATAAAAAAAAAACCCAAACAGAAGAGGAAAGCAGGACTTTTTCTCTTTTCACCCTTCTATGCTTCATTTCTTTGGAATGAAAAATGGAGACTAACCCTAATATCTGTTGCCTCCAAAGACTGAAACTGCCCCACAGTCGTCAGATGGCATTTGGGAAGCAGAAACCAGAGGTCAAATTAAATCTTTGACAACACAGCTAAGGTGGAATTTTCTATTCTGCTTAACTTTGCCACAAAGGGAAACATTCTGCGGAAGCAATTTTTAGAAATGCTGAGATCTGGTTTCCTCCTCTCCCACGGGGTTTCCCTGTATGGCTCTGGCTGTCCTGGAACTCACTCTATAGATCAGGCCGGGCTTGAGCTCAGAGATCCACCTGCCTCTGCCTCCTGAGTGGTGGGGGTGGGGTTAAAGGCGTGCACCACCTCCACCCGGCTTGAGACATCCATCGTTCTGTTGCAGACCTCAGTAGAGCGAGGCCTGCCCCAGTGAGCCTCAGTGCCCTGGGGTCTGTGAGAAAGTCACGTGGAGCCAGGTGTGGAGGCCCGTGCCTAACATGTCTGCACTCTGGAGGCAGACGCAGGAGGATCACCACAAACTGAAGGCTATCTTGGTCTACATGGTGATTCCAAGCTCTGTTAGGGCTGCATATCAAGACCTTGCCTCACAAAACAATCAATAAAAAACCAAAACCAAAACCAAACCCAAACCAGCTATTTACATAACAACACTAATTAGCTTGAACACGTGGAGAATCCTGTCTTCTTGGAGAATAGTACTTATAATATCTATAAGAATTTTTAAAGCAAAGAACATGCTAAAATGTTTGTTTGTTTTTGTAGTGCTGGGATTGAGCCAAAGCCTCATGCATTCTGGGCAAGGGCTTACCAGGGGGCTTGCCCCGCACCTTGTTTGTGTATGCCCACTGACATGATAATCGAGAGACACTGTTTATTTCTTTAAACCATATTCTCACCAACCCAGTTCCCTAACCGGAGAGGTTTAGCTAACCATCAGCTTTCGTATTCAGCTTTGGTGACTGGTCCCTTCTAGAAAGAGGCTTAATTTTTAATTGACTTATGTACAGCCATTCTGAATTCCAAATCACTCTCAAACAAAAGTGCCCCCATGTCAGCTGCACATTCTCCCTGGGCAGTGAAGGGGTCCCGCTACACTTAGGAAAAGACATCACAGCAGAGAGAGCCAGGCGACCCAGGACCTAGAGGCAAAGGTGTTTGCTGCCCGTACCACACTTGGCTTCTTTCTTTGCAGTACTGGAGTTTTCAGAAGTTACAGGAGGGCTGGGGAGATGGTAAAGCGTTTGCTGTGTGAGCATGAGGACTTGAGTTCTATTCCCCAGCACCTACATAAAAAGCGTATGTGGGAGCAAGCACCCACAACCCCAGTACCGAAGTGGGTGGAGACGGACATGCCCTGTGGGCTTGCTCATGAGCCACTCTAGCCGAAACGAAACAGCAAGCTCTGTTCAGCAACAGACTGTCTCCTACAATAAGGCCGTCAGCCTCTGTCCCCCCCCCCCCCCCATGCATGGCTGAGAGCACAAAGGTGCACACACACAGACACACACACACACACAAGGTTACAGGAAACTAAGTTCTTCTGTCACTCATCCAGATTGTTATTTTCAACCAGGTTATGATGACGTTGGAAATGATGCAATGAAACCCATAAATCAAAATAAAGGTAATTATTTAAATGTTGTATTAGAAACTTTTACATTAAAACAAACAAACAAACAAACAAACAAAAAACATGGCTTTGCAGATGCCGATGTCCCCTGAAAAAGAAAAAGACAGTGGCTGGATAGTTTCCTACCCCTCTTAGAGGCCTAGTCTATAGTTGTAGAGTGTAGATGGCTGAGTGTTTTCTCCAAAGATGCTAGCCAGTGTTCTGAATAGTAATGCCTCCTAATCCAAGTAGAAATGAGCTGTTGTACCAAAACAAACAAACAAACAACAATTTCCTGGCACTCAGAGTGGTATAGGAGGATGTTTCTCTCCAGCTGAGGTGGAGATTTTTAAGATTTTTTTTTTTTTTGAGACAGCTAACAGTAGGCAATTTACTTCTGCCTCAAGCTTAGAGGCATCAGCTTAAATCTTTTTTGTTTGTTTTTAGTTTTTTCATGTCTTCTTCTGTTTTTATATTCATTGTTGTGTATTTATTCTTTATTGTGTGTTTAGTTTAATTTTCAAAATCTCTCTTGGTAACAGGGTGATCTGTGTGTGTGTCTTTCTTTCTGTCCCCATTCCTCTGTGTGGGAAGGTTGAGTCACGGTTCCCAAAATTTTTCAGTAACTAGTTGGCTTATGGCTTGTTTGTTGACCTCACTAAAATGAAGCCACTATCCGGATGGCAGCCATCATGGCTCCTGACCTCCCTTAAATCATTCTGTTATTGTTGTTGGTTTTGTTTTTGTTTTTCGAGACAGGGTTTCTCTGTGTAGCCATGGCTGTCCTGGATGCACTTGTAGACGAGGCTGGCCTCTAACTCACAGAGATCCACTGCCTCTGCCTCCCAGAGTGCTGTGCCTGGCTCCTTAAGCTGTTTCTTAAAGGTGTTTTCTGAGCCATGCTGCTCTCATGAGAACCAAAATTCCCAACCTGCTTCTGTGAAGTGTCTTTGGCTGCACTGTCTGTTTAATCTGCCAGCAAGAACCCCTAATTCTGTGGGGCCTTAAAAGCAAAGTAATGCCAGGCATGAGTCACACCTGTAATCCCATGACTCAGGAGGCTGAGGCAGGAAGAACAGGTATTCAAGGCTAGCCTTGGCTACATAGCAAGTTCCAAGCTGCCCTGGGATACATGTAACCCTGTCTCAAGAAACAACAACAAACTGGGGGAGGCAGAGGCAGGAGGATCTCTCTGAGTTCGAGGCCAGCCTGGTCTACAAAGTGAGTCCAGGACAGCCAAGGCCACACAGAGAAAAAAAGAAATCCTGTCTCAAAAACAAAACAAAAAGGGAAAGAAAGAAAGAAAGAAAGAAAGAAAGAGAGAGAGAGAGAGAGAGAAAGAAAGAAAGAAAGAAAGAAAGAAAGAAAGAAAGAAAGAAAGAAAGAAAGAAAGAAAGAGAGAGAGAGGGAGAGAGAACAACAATAAGGGCTGGAGAGATTGGCAGAGGGTCATCACACTCAGTAACAGGAGTCGGAGAGGCTACGATCTCTGCCGGTACCAGCATAGGGCTGACTGGAATGAAGGTCCTGGGTGTGGTTGGAAGCCTCTGGAGGAGGTTCTAAACTCAAGGCACTGTGATTCCTTTCAACAGACCCTCAGAACATGGATGTGGAATATACAGAAGTCCAAGTGACCTCCCCTGAGCCTCACCAAGGTAAGCAGCCCTCATCAAGTGAGCCAGGCCCACAGACCTAATAGGCGTCTGCAGACCTACCAGGCATACCTGATTCTGCAGCTGTAAAGCTGGGGTGGCTGCCGGGCAGGGACTAAGCGCCGAGCACTCTTCTCTGGAGGAATCTTCAGAGGCACCCTCTCCCCCATCTCCGCACCCCCTGCAGCCAGGTGTTCAGGCCAGCCCCTTCCCCATGCGCTGTGTGGACCAAATGTGTGTTAGTCGCATGAATGCTTCAAATAGGGAACATGGGGCTGGAGAGATGGCTCAGTGGTCTGCAGTACACACTGTTCTCCCAGAGAGCCTGAGTTTGGTTCCCAGCACCCACATCGGGTGGCTCACACCAGCTCCAGGGGAATCCAGTGCCCTCTTCTGGCCTCTGCAGGCACTGCACTCACATTTACACAGAGTTCCTACTACCCCCACACATAGGAATGGTGATGGTGATGGTGATGGTGATGGTGATGGTGATGGTGATGG